TATCCCCTAGTAGACTTCAGTCCCTGGCAGAGAATTTTTGTTATAAAAATGAGCATACTACATAATAATTATATTCTCTAATTTTAGGTATACATACCTAAATACTTAAAAAAGATTTAACGTGAGATTTATCATGTTAAATCTACGTCTGATATAACGTGAGATTTATCATGTAAAAAGTTTGTGTCTACTTATTTAATTTTATAATCGTCAAGTGTTTATGTATATAACCAAAATATCAGCTGACCCTACGTTAATAGACATGTGTATGCATTATGCATATAAAATTGTACCACATGCGAATAAGTCAATTATATCTATAACAACATCGTTTGTTTAAATTATGTTTCTTTTACTATTCCATTCTCTTCTACTTGTCCCTTTTTCATAATTAGATTTTTTCCCCCACTTTTACTTGTCATTTTTAACATATAAAAAGACTTATTTTGCCTTTTTTATCCTCTAACTTTAGTACTTATCCTCTAAATTATTTCTCAAAACCTTAGAATATATACATCAATTAACATTAATATGATACAAGCAGTATTAATCATTATTTCTTTAGAAAATGCTAAGTCCAAAATGAATAAATAAATAATTTTTATAAGCAAATTATAATGAAATGTGATTATATATAAACAATATCCTTTACCTCACCAACATGGGTTGTCATGCCTGGGTGACAATCCTTTATCATGCCTGGTGACAATCCTTTATCCTTAAACGGAGGTCTCGGATTTGTGGGTATAGATAAAAAATTCTATTGGAAGCGCTATCCTCGAATGGGTTCTGCAGTGCGCGATACTAATTTAGTAAGAGCTTCAATGTGAACTTCTAACACCGAGTGGAGAAAAATATATATCTTTTACCTCTACCTCCTTGGACAAAAGTAATTCTTCCACCTCTAGATATGGAATGATGAGAGCAAGGAAAAGAAAAAGCTACAAGTAAAAATTAGTTACCACATATGACAGAGCTAAGAACATAATGTAGACAGTTGGAGCACTTGAATTGAATAGGGTCATGTCATGAAGATATGTTATTAAGATCCCAAACCCAACCAATTAGTATGTGAGTCAATTTCATGACTACCAGTGGTTGGTCACTCATGTGGAGTGTTGGACCACTTGTATATAAAAACTATAGTATAGTACCCCAATATCTAAGGCAAACACAGATTGTCCAATGCAGCCAAAAGTTAACACACAACTCAGGAGAGTTACACTTCCACCCCACTCTGCTATATACAATATGTCCCTCAACCAATCGCAAGTGCTCTTCTACTAGATAGATATAAGATATTTGAGTGCGGCCTAGTGATCAATGAAGTAGTTGAGAATTTTAATGTCTCAAATTCAAAACATATATTTGGTGATTATTTTCATCTGTTCTAGCTTTGGTAGACAAGAATTATCTGGTATCTGTTGCTGATGTGAGGTTCAAATGATAGGTATGTTGTAAATTTAATTGAGATACCACGATTATTAAAAAAAAAGTATACTTTTGATTGGATTCGCTCCTCCTCTCCATTTTCTCGAGCTCTTGGATTAAAGACGTATGTTATGGTCCCGTGGACTCATGGTTAAGAATGATAAATTTTTCATGTATTTGCTTTTAGATTATTTTTTTTGGCAAATATCGTAATTTAGTAAAATATATTTTTTATTAATAAGTACTTAAATACTTTTCTCTTTTTGCAATATATATACGATCGACTCTTTTTTAGTATTTGAATAGAAAAAACACACACGCAGGAATGAGAAAATAATTAGATTCCCAAAAATCTAAATCAATGTGTGATATTTGTAAAAGAAATAATTATTTAATGTTAAAAGTCTAGTGGTCACTGATATATTGAGAAATTGACTTGTCAATTGTTAAAAGGCAAAAAGATAAAGAAGGGAAACCAACAAATAATCAAGTAAAGATTAACTTGAAATACAAAAACTAATAATTGGAAGTTCACAAACATAGAAACAGAAAAGAAGAAAGAAGTAAAAGCTACTTCTTATACTAAACTTCGATTTTTTTTCAACTACTCCCAAAACTATCAAATGTCTTAGTTACCTCTCTAAATTTGCTTATTTGATAGTCTTTAGCATGCGTTCGGATATGCAATTTCATCATAAATTTGAAGTATTATTTTAAATTTTACAAAAAGAAAAAGAAAAAAGCTCATGCTCGGTGTGTAAAGATTGTTTATACTCTATAAAAGAATTGTATCAAAAAATAACTAGTTACTACTATTTCTTAACCACAAACATCTATTTATACAAAAGAATTGATAGATTTATCAGTACGACACCTAAAAATATTCTGATATCTTATTTATAAATTACGATTTGTCCATTTGGTAAAATTGTAAAATAATTGAAGAAAATTTGTAGTTTTCGACTAAAATAGCCGCATTTATATGCAATATACCGATATAAGATTAATAGTTATATACACATATACACTGTTACTTAATATATACATTGGAATTTTTCATCTTCACCAACGAGCTAAATTTATTTTGTAATTGCAACCAGCTCAAACTCCTCTATACAATTAAATTCTGAATTTCAGATATGAGCTTCTTTCTTTGTTTCGATTCTTTTAATATATTATTTACTCTGAAAGATTCACATTTATGGCTGATCAAATTATTAAATTGAGTTTCAAAACTTTTCAATGGCACAAAATATTCAAGACTTTATTTATCAAGCAAATTATAGTATGTTGAAATTCTCACATTTATAGAAAAAGCAAATAACATCCACCATCACATTCACCTTCTTTGAATAAGATAATTTGACTAAATAGACATTTTTGTAGTGTAGCAACGAGATAAGTTGTCTATATAATGTTAATTGATCTTTTAGAGGTTGTATTATGGACAACTTTCACATATAACAAATAAAAAATTCATATTTGTATGTTATAACAAAGTTTGCATAATTGTGCTTCATAGCAAACATAAACTGTATAATTCGCTATACATATACACTTGAAGCAAATTGTATAAAATGAAGTGTATAGAACAAGAAAGAAAAAGACACTTGGGCAGATAACTGTATAAAAACGAAGTGTATAAAACGAATTATTATTATAAGTGTATAGAACGATTATATACAATTTGAATTTGTATAAAATGAGAAAGAGAGAAAGACAAAAGAGACTTGACAAGGAATATACAATTGAATCGAATTGTATAAAACGAGAAAGAGAGAAATTAGATACAATTTGAAAATTGTATAAAACGAGAAAGAGAGAAAGGCAAAAAATACTGGGCATGGGAGTATTTTTATTGTATAACTATAAGTGTATAGGACGAAAATATATGTACTTGCATGTGTATATAAAATTTTCTCACGCTTTATACAAACAGAAACACAATTTATACATTTCGCTTCTGTTTGTATAATATAAGTAAGAAAGGTGAGGGTGGTGAGTGAGATTTGGGAGAGTGGCGAGCGAGATCTGGAAGAGGGGAACAAAAATATATGTATTTATATAATTTTCTCTGCTTTATACAATTAGAAAAAAAATTATACACTTGTGTTTCTATAAAAAGTGAGGAAGCTAGCGAGAGATTGGAGGAGAGTGGCGAGCGAGATATTTGGGAGAAAGGCGCCTGACAATTTTTTTGCAAACGTTTGCTATGGAGCACAATTAAATCAAACTCTAGTTACTCCATTTATTTTAGATTATTAATTTGTTATTATATACAATTTTCCCTCGTATTATTTAGGAATGTTTTTGTACTGCAAACAAATCCAATAGCAGATGTGGACAAGAACATTTGGCCCTTTGGGCTATTCAACAATCACTTTGGAGAATATAGTTATTGGGCCTACACCAAGATTGGATTTTTGGGAGTACATGATTGCTTGATGAGAGCCACTATAATTTTGATTGAGTTTTGTAAGGGCTCTTTAAGTAATTGTATAGACAAAAAAAAGTTCTTATTTATTTCGATTAAAATGACTATATATAATGTATGAATATTGTATAATCATATATAATAGATGTATATTTCATATACACTATTTATACATTTTGTAGTAGTTCATCTTCTTGAGTTGATTTTTTACTAACTCAAATCTCCTCTAAACAGTCCCACAACTATAAATATGAGCTCCTCTCGATATCTCAAAATCTTTTGATATCTTATTCAGTTGAAACGATTCATATATCTTACACCAAATATAAAATGGAGTAGAGTGGGCTTCCATTGTGTGCCATAGGCGAAAATTCTTTTTTTTTTTTATCTTATTCTTTGGTCAGACTGGTATCCCACAAACATTTCTTTTAAGCATCGTTCTTTTGCCATATTTAGTTGTGAGATGTCCATTTATCTCTTGATTTTGCTATGAAATCTATCATATATCTCAACATGTATTTAAATTCTATCTCTGATGTATCTATCATGTATATGTCATATATATTTGTTATGTATCATATATATATATGTATTTGAGTTGTACATGGTGTATCTGATATCCATCTGGATACATATGTATGTATTTACTCTTTCACTATGTATGTGATATATATGCAACATGTATCTACTCACAAGCAATTTTCAATAATATTTGTCGACGATAAGAATATTTTAGAATCAAAAAATCAACAAATAGTATATACCAAATTTAATAGCTTAGAGATATTTTAAATATTTTCGATATAATATATAATATAACATGATATAAAAAATTAGATCAGAAAATTTTGAAGTTGGATTGATTCACTTCGAATTGCGGACCCTTCATTGCACTAGAATATTTCGTGATCCAGGCCGTGTATTCTTTGTCTACTCAAGGAAAATGTATCATAATATTTATTAATTTATAAAATTAATTTTTTTAATCACTTTAAAACTATAAGTAAATTATATTGAAAAAAATAATTAAGGATAAATTAGTTTTTCTTTTAAAAAAAGGAAAATTATATGATTTTCTAAAAAAATGCGTAAAAGAGAAATATGATAACTAATATGAGACGGAAAGATTAACACGTGATAAATTAGGTGATTTTTTCCTCATTCATTCGTGTTCATACAATCAAATCAGCATTCATACTCCACTATACTAAATACCATTAGTATTTCCCTAAAACAATAATGTAAATACAACATTCAGTACATTAATCAAAAGCTAATTAAACACGCCAAATTAAAGCTTAATTAATATCCCTCCTTTGTTTTCTCAATTTATTGCCATGATAAAATGGAAATTGAACTTTCACACATTTATTGTGCCTTCAACTATGACAATGCGGCAGTATCAGTCAAATGTCCTGTTTAATATCCTGCATCATATTACATAATGTTGGTATACATATTACTTGCTAAAGATTATTGTATACGAATTGCCAAATCTTGATCAAAAAGATATTTGTATGTTCTAAGTTATGTGGCATTGGTTAAATAAATTTTAAATTTTTGACCGTGAATTCGTATATGAAATGAAATTTATACTTATGAAAACTACGTAATAAGTAGTATAAATCAAAATATTTAAAGAGATTTAAAAAAATTCCGAGCTAAGAAAATTGGGCCTAATACTTGAAATGTCAACTGTACCACATAAATTGAGTAGGAGTGAGTAATAATTGAAAGTGAGAAAAAGTGGAAACCTTGATTTAGGTTGAAGGACACTTGAAGTCTTTGGGTGGATACTTGCCACAATCATCAATAAGAACCTGTAGAGCAATGGGAAGAATGATGTTTATGTTTAAGAGCTTGAGTCTAATAGTTGTGCAAAGACAAATGGCTGCATCCAAGTCTACTAGTCCTCCTAGAAGTGGACAACATGTTTGCTTAGCACTTCCACCGATTCCAATGTGGATTAGTCCTCCTAACACGTCCACACAAGCACCTAGCTTGAGAGCATCAATGGGGCAAGTTGGTTGTGCTGGTGGTGATGGTATTATTGCTGGTGGTGGTGGTGGTGGTGGGCATGGTGTAGGGGGTGTTGGAACTATGGGTGGAGTAACAACCGGAGGACTTGGCACGTAGGGTGGTGGTATTACCACGGGAGGATTGGGGACAAAAGGTGGAGAGACAATAGGTGGTGTTGGAATGATTGGAGGTGACACAACAGGTGGTGTTGGAGTGATTGGTGGATAAACAATGGGGGGTGAAACAATAGGAGGTGTTGGTGATGGTGGTTTTGGAGTGACTGGTGGATGGACAATAGGTGGTGTTGGAGTGATTGGTGGATAAACAATAGGGGGTGAAACAATAGGTGGTATTGGTGATGGTGGTTTTGGAGTGAATGGTGGTGTTTTTGGTGGTTTAGGTGTGGAAGGTGGAGAGACAATGGGAGGAGGATGCACTATAGGAGGTCTTGGTACATGTGGAGGTTTTACAATTGGTGGCTTAGGACCATGATGAGATGGAGGAGGGCATGGTTTTTGTGGGGGGTGTTTAGGGTGTTTAGGGGTGGAAGGTGGTTTAACATGTGGAGGGTGTTTAGGGGTAGTAGGTGGTTTCACATATGGTGGTTGTTTAGGGGTAGAAGGTGGCTTCACATGTGGAGGATCTTTAGGGTGTTTAGGGGTAGAAGGTGGTTTCACATGTGGAGGTTGTGTAGAGGGTGGTTTCACCTTAGGAGGCAATTTTGGGTGTTTTGGGGTGGAAGGAGGATATGGACAATAAGGACATGCATGGGCAATGAACAAAGTTCCAAGTTGAAGAAGCAACAATAAGACTCTAGCAAGATTAAACTTCTCCATTGGTATGGAGAGAGGGAATAACTCTTGCCAAATGCTACCAATAGAATGGTACACTATGGCACTAGCTCTTTAACACACCCATTCTTATAGACAAAGATACTAACCAAAATATGTCTATTTATTTCCCTATTTCCAATTCTTTTCTAATGATTTTTACCGACAAGATGCTTGAGTTAGGTATGTAATATGTATAATTAAAGATTTAGTGTTATTTTATAGAAAATGTTTAGGAATTCATCAAGTGGGATTGTTAAATATAATGAGATTTCTCTACATTATTTAAAAGATTTCGAATTTGACTTAATGAGAAATTTCAAATAGAAAATACAAATGTTCCTGAACATACACACACAAAAAAAAGAAAGTGTTATACGCGGGGATTTAAGGAAGGGTCAGATATATGACCTCTTGCCTTCTTTTTTTTTTTAAAAAAATCTCTTTTCTACTTAAACATTTTACGTACAAATAGTTTTGTTTAAGTGGGTAATTAAAATCGATTACCAAATGTTTGTTGGAAAGTGTTTAAATGACTTTTCTTTATTGCTGTTTTCACTTTTCCAAAAATCTTTCTCTAGGTACTTATTTAACATGTCTTAGTACGTACATACATAAATGGTTAAATCACTATCAACAAAGATATATAGACTCATCAGGTAGCTCTTTGAGAGGCATATGTATACAAAGATACATAGGCCCACTAATATACCTTCTCTCTTTTAATTTGCTTGTACCGTTCTTAAAAAGAATTCTAAATATTTAATCTTACATTAAAAATAAACATATAAAAATATCCTTTATTTTTGTAATTTTGAATATGTTATGTAAAGTTATATTAAAAATTTATCGATTTTTTAAAAAGTGAATTGAAAATTTTAGTGAGAGAAACAAATTGAAACGAAGAATGCGACAACTTTGGATATATATACTTGATATATCAATTATATAATAATTTGTGTATCAAATTACCATACGGCTCCAAACCTAACTTTTAGGCCAAAATTTTCAAATATTATTTGTCCAAGTGACAGTATGTGAATTGGAGAAGGGAAAAAGAGGACAGATTTTGCTGTTGAGTCCGTGAGTGAGCTATTGAGACTCAACATTCACTACATTCCAAGGTTTCATCCTTTTTAAAAAGTAGCGGCCCATGTGGCTCCAATCAACGTAATTATCACTACCATCACCGTCAAGAATATTATGAAATGACGAGTGACAGAATTAGAATTTTTAATAAAGTAATTTAATATTTATAGAATTAAATACAAATTAAATGAAAGGATTTGATATCTATTATATATACATTAAAAAGTAATTTTAAACATGTATAAATAATAAAATTTTCAGTCAAAGAAGGTTTGAATACCCCCTAACACAAGGCTAGCTCCGCCTCTGAATGAGATTATGCTGATATTAATTAGATTTTACGTATTCGAGCTTTGAGAATTTAAAAGATGAATCATCAAAGAATGTTTTTCTCTTTAATAATCTTATGTGGTACAAATCTAAATCATAATCAAACCTGGTTGTACTAGTTAGTCAATATTGAGAAAAAAAGAAGTATTCAAAAAATATTTAAATTCAATATGAACTATTTGTTTCATCCTTGAATTATTGGAATTCAAAATACATTTATTTAATTGATTAACTAAATTTAAATACACTTACAATCTTGCAATATGGGTGAAATACACTCTAAATTCTCATCAAGTTTAGGGGGTGCTTTCAACACTTCTCTTGGCCATTCATTAAGAGTTTCATGCTCCTACAAAAAATTGGGTGTATCTAAGTTTAGTTAGTCAAGTAGTTTTTAAGGTTGTCAATAGTACAGAAATAAAACTAATAATTTGTGCCAAGTTTATAGGTACTTTAATACTTCTCTCTAATAATATTTCATTACAATCTGATTATTATTTTTTTTTAGATTCGATTTTCACGTTATATTCTACTTTCACATAATAATATTGTACCTATAATAACAATGACATTGCGATAATATTTTTGTCAAACTACTCTTCTACAAGTCATCAGACAATTATTGTGTAGTAAATTTTATAAGAAATATATTATGTATAAAAATAAAATATTAAAATAATTGTGGTAATAAAATAAATATCATGCAAAAATATTTTCATCATTAGTTAGGGTTACAACTAGAGCTATCAAAATGGGCGTAGCCCATGGGATCGATCCAATCCAATCTATTATTTGGATATAGTTGAGATAGAATTTTTCAAGCTCATTTGAAACTAGGGCTTATAAACTCGATTCATATAAGCCCTTGAGGCTTGATTGGGGTCAGTTGGCTCATGGGCCAAAACAATTTATTTAAGTGTAACTTACAAAAATTATTCTAGTGTATGAGCTAATTACTTAAAGACACTCTATGTTTTAATATTATGAATTTTATCAGACTTTGATACGTCCAGATACATGTATCTCTAAATACATGGACTCAAAATCAAGTTAATTTATTCTAGATACACTCAATATATCAGTGAATCCTTACATATCTAGGACACATAGACAAATTTCGTGTCATTGCCTCCCTTCCATCTCACTCGCCTATTTGGGATGCATCACACCAGATACATATATCTAGTATTCTAAATACATGTTAATCACTTATCACACTAGATTTTTTGCTAGTGTTATTGAGACAACACCATTATTTGTCATATTTGATTTGAAAATCTCTTCATCTTCTTGATGTTATAAAATTTTAAGTTTGAAAAAAAAATTAAAAAGGGCTAGCCCGCTCGAGCCCGCGGCCCTCCTAGGGTTGGACATATTCAGACCCTTTCAAATGAAAGGTCAACCTGCAATAGCCCATAAAATTCATCGGCCCGCGAGGTTTGAGTCAGATAAGATTTGACAAACCCTTTTTGACAACTCTAGTTACAATTTCACGAGGAAAGACTACTTATATCTGCTATTTATCATTCAATACTTTTTATATTTGTTTTATTGGTTAATTAACAAATATATTCTTTTTTCTTGGAATACAAAATTATGAAACTATTGTTTGTGTTCTTTTATTGATAACAACTAGATGGAATTTAAACGTCAATGTCACTATGCATATGTAAGATTGGGAAAATGATCTAGAATAACAAACATCTAGCCTATACTAGGCACTATTGGAAAATTGTCATTTGCGGCTACAATTTCTTTAATTCTTGTTATTTATTTGATTTATATAAATTTATAATTTATATAATTTGGTCCTAATTGTATAAATTTAAAATATTATATATGCTTATTTTAGTTATTTATTTATGATTTATAAAAAAGATTATAATAAATTACTCTATTTGTATATTGAGAAGTGAAATATACAATTAAAGTTCTGAAAATTCCTAAATGTATAAATACAGAATTTGTATGTACTTACTCTATTTGTATATTCGCAAGTGAAATATATCAACACACAGAAATATACAAACAACAACTTACATACGCAAACAAAATTATAACTACAAAGCACAGATTATCAAAATTATAATCATAGAACATTATTATATCTATTATAGTTATTTTTAAAATTTCCTCACGTCTAAATAACTTGTTATTCTCTATTTAACTATTTGAATTAATACGTACTCTGTTAATTGGAACGATAAGTTTACAATAAAAGTAATGAAATGACTTATTTTTAGAACATTAAATATTTTTATATAAGTTTTGATGTATTAAATTCACTAATATTTCGATGGAAAGAGTAATTTGCTTAGGTTACATAATGGTCTTAGTTAAATTAAAGTAGAAACTTATATAAATTTTACCGGTTTAGGAATTTATTATTTAGATATACTTTAATTTGTAATATTATAAATTTTATTAGATTTTGGTGCGTCCACACGCGTATATCTCGGGTTATATGAAATCAAAATTAGGTGTAATTTGTTCTAGACACATCGTATCCAATAGAATTCATATGTAACTTGGATACATAACAAATCTCGTTGCATCCTCGCCTCTTCCCATCTTGCTCGCCACTCTCATATATCCCAGATGCATGCGAATCACACTAGATACCTACAAAATGCATGCATCTTATGTGTATCTATTGTGATTCGCACGTATTTGACATATATTACTATCTCCGCTCGTCTCCTCATCTGACTCGCTTTTTTCTCTATTTAAGCGTATCTGATAGCAAAGAATATTTGTATGTATTTTTTAAATATATAATACGAAATATTAATTAATAATAGAATATGTAATATTTTAAAAATATAAAGCGTTATATATTATAATGATAATATAATATATATAATTACGTAGCTTATCCTAAATTAAAAGATCACATTGCACGGAGCTGGGTTTTCAGACAACTTTTAAAGTTTTCTTGGCTTTTATCTGTGTTTTTTCCCCTTTTGAAGGTACTAATTTATTCGTTTTTTAGGGAAATGTTGGGCAAATATAGCTTTCCTGTTTTACTCGGAAATTACTCATTTCAGACCATTCTACTTATCGTACTTATTAAAATTAAATAGTCTAAAATAATTATCATTTTAGAAAATCAAAATATAATTAATATATATATTATTATCTGTAGTATTTAGCATGAAAAATCTAAGTGAACAATTAGTGATGGCAAATGATTGGGTTGAATCAAATTTGAACGGGTTAAAAATGAGTCAATATAAAATGGATATAACTCAACCCGTCCATATTTGATATGAGTAAAATTGAACTGGTAACAAATGAATTGTGCAAAATACTTTACCATATTTTCATGAATAAATAGTGTTCTACTTAGCAGTTCAACGTAGACAAAATATTTTAGTATTTTTTAAAATAAAAAATACTGAAAATATTTTATTTAGTTTTATTGTATACTAAAAGTTAAAAAAAATAATCCTGACTTTTCAAAAAATAAAGTTATGCAACAACAAGGAGAAAATACTTTTAATTTCAAAGTAAATGAACAGTTCTATTTTAGAACTAAAACATGAACTTTAAGGCTTCACCAATGTCAATATTTATACATGATTTATTTATTTTACATTATTATTTATAACTCAATTTAAAATTAAATAAACAAAAAAATGTAATTATAATTAACAAAAGAAA